ATAAGAGCTCAGGGATTTATACATTTGTTTTAGATGCTAGAATTTTATTTAAAGTGATAGTTCTCCTCACAACCATACCCACATATGCTTGTCCCACACCATTTATGGTATTCTAATGTTTCTGAGCTGTATTTGCCTTGCTGTTGCTGTGCAGAGTTTGAAGCCCTCCAGGGAGTGAATGTCTGTGTGACTGTGTAGGTGGATTAGTTTTTCCTCAGAGAACTATGGACACTGTTGATTGTGGCCATATTCTCTCCCTTTTATTTCTATTTTGTTGTCCCAGTTCTCACCTAAGTATTTGAAACAGCATTCATAGCTGTGTCTGAGAAGAAAAGAGATTCCTGTGTGTCACAGAGTAAATTTTTTCCTCTTATCAAGTGATAAAATTGCTCCAGAGAGCAATTTCTCCACTTTTCCTTTTGCATTGGGATTTAGAATTATTTCATCCTTTGGCAGTAGAAGTGTGGCTGTGGCACTGCAGAAAAAGGACCCTTGTATCCTGTTGGACTAACTCCTACCTGTGTAATACAACAGGAGGGAGGTATTCTATGTGGGATCAGATTTCCACAGGGAACCAAGATCATTGGAAGTGTTTGCAGCATCATCTCTGTTCTCTGAGTCTTCAATATCAGGAGTCTCCAGAGGCATTAACTCAGAAAAAAAAAAAAAAAAAAAAAACCCAGAGGAAAGTTGTAGACTGCATATCTGAATGTCATGGAAGATTTCACTTAGCAGCCTGTTTCATGCTCAAATGAGTTCTATCCTCCTTCTGTTCAGCCAGGAATGATACATCAGTGCCAGAGAAAACAGCATGTGCTCCCTGATCACAGAAGTATTCAGAAAAGGGAGTCCTGTCATTGGGAACTTGACAATGTACTGCAGAGACTGGACAATACTGGGCTGTGGTTGCCAGTGTCTTGAATTTAGCTACAGGCAAGGTGCTGGTGCTGAGCTTCATGCAGTTTACTCCTGCCAAAGCAGCAGCTCCCTCTTGTCCTCACCTGAGATGTCCATGCAGCAATCCTGCCAGTGGCAAAGGGCAGTTAACAGGCTCAGAAATCAATCCACTCATGCAATGTCTGCTTGGGCTGTTTGGGAACAAGGCTGTGGCATGACATCTATTAATCTGCATAACAAGGAAGATTGGCTTCCACATCATGCAAAGCATTCAGGGTGCTTCCAGCACAGGCAGTGTGTTAGCAGGGAGGTATGCACAGAGCAAGGAGTTCAGAGCAAGGACAGGCACAGGCTGGGTTCTGATACAAGCACAGCTTTGCTGTCTCAGAAAGGAAAAGGGAAATAAATGGTTTGGCTTTAAGAATCAGGCAGAAAATGCTGGAAATATGTTCCTTGAATTGCAATGCTCAAGCTGCAGATGATGAGGGAAGCATTTTTGGGCTACATAACTGTGAAGGAGAGTGTGTGTATGTCTGAGAGTTCATGTCTCTGTGAAAATGAATAGGGGTTCTCATGCACATCTGCATTTTCTATTGTCTTAAACCAAATGCTCTGCCATCTTTTCTGCCAGGAAATGTCCCAAATAAATAAGCCTGGTTTGCCTGTGGCAAAAGGCTTTTACTGATAGTTCTCTGAGTGCATATTGGGCTGGACACTTTCAGCACAACCCCACCATTCTGGCTGGTTTATCTCCCTTTTATTTTGATCTATTTGCTTCCCATCAAGCTTCCTCCCTGTCAGCACTGAGCAAATAACACGTGTGGCTAATACAGAAAAGAAATAGAGAGGTTGGTGCCTTCCCAGCCAGGTCAGCCAGAGGAACTTGCTAAATATGTTTGTCATTCACTTGTTGTCTCAGACACTGCCAGAATATTTTGAGCAGCAAAGGCCCCTGCAGCCCTGCTAGCTGAAGGGCATCAGCTGGCAGATTGTCTGTCAGGTGGGAAGTGCTCCTTTCCCTGTCTCCCAGTGCTGTTTTCTACCTTAACAGCAGTTTCCATGAAGGATTTGTTCCCCAGGTTTTCTTGTCAGATAACAAGGCTGAGTCTGGCACTGTGACAGAGACAAGACTGCCAGAGATCCAGGTCCAGGTCCAACCAAGTAGTGAGGCTGAGCAAGAATTCCCAGAAGGCACAGGCACATGGAGAACACGTTATGTACACAAATACACAGCTGGCCACATGTGCCAGCTGAACACACTGAGCAGTCCCACAAATGAGAGGGCACAGAGAGCTCACCTCATTCCCCTTGGGCAGTTCAGGATGAGGTCCCAGTAGAGTCACTGTAGATGTTCACAAGTACAAGAGGAACCTGCTGGTATCTGTCTGGGCATAGAAACTCCATGTGCCCAAGACCTGTCCCTGGATCCCAGTCTCCTCAGGCCACATGGTGTGTTCCTCATGACTTGTACAAAGGCAGCTCTGAGGGGTGTTGGATATCTGAACTTCTTCAGGTAAACTGCATTTGATTACCTACTGCCATTTTGCAAAGCAAGGTTTATGGATATAATTGATGTAATTTTTAGAGTGTGCTTCAATGTTTTCTTTACCTGTTCTGTTACTGTTAACAATTACTGTCTTTCCAAGCTCCTGAGTTATTATATCTGGTTGGAACCTGCAGAAACCTGTAGTCTGTGATTTTTTTTCCAAAAGTGTTTGTATGTCTGGGCTTCAGCAGCTCCAGTTCTCTGATGACAATAATTCTTTTGCAGTTGTCACCAGATTTGTTCTGAGCTTACCTTTGTAGAGCAGAAGATAAGTGTGCTGCTGCTTAACTGTATTGCATGATGGATCGGCTGCTGTCGCTCATGTGGATAAAACTGTTCCATTGTTCAGCAAGGGCTAAATGGCTGGATAATGAAAAGGAGGAAATGAACCGGGGTTACATATTCCTTCCCTTGCTCAGGACTGGACTTCAGTGTATAGATTCCTGATGGGAGACTCATTCCTGCCCTTTGTAGATGGTTTGTTCTTGATATGTATTGACATCTGACTTGTGCCTGATCCCAAAAATACCATGGCATTGCACATTTCCTCAGCTGAGGAAAACAACTCGTCCTATATGGGTATCCCAATGGATTTTCTTCCCCAAATTTTTTGAGATAAAGTATGCTTGCAGAAATTTCATAGTAAATTCGTGCTGGGGCTACACTGTGCCAAGTTTTGGTCAGAAAGTCAGACAAGCACTGCATGCCTAATGCTGCTATTCAGCCCAGAGACTGTACTACTACCACTGACTTCTGTTACATTTAGTTTCATAGAGAGTCTTATTCACTATTATTGTTTTATTTATATGGGTTTTTTTAAAATTTCTTTCTTAAGGTGACCTTAATTTTCTTACTCTAACCCACAGTTTGGGACTCTGTCTTCTTTATTTTTTTCATTTTTTTTTCTCTCTGGCCTATTTATACCTCCATCATTTCTGAGGTTGTTCTGCTGGGAACCCATTCCTGCCAATCATTCCTATGGGCTAATCAGGACAGAATACCTGATAATGTTAGTAACATTGATTTTAAGATATTTGAAGCCGGTCCACACCCAACATTTTGATATTTCTGATAACGTCTGTGAGGGTGTTTGGTAACAATATTGCTCAAGCAAACTCTTATCTCAAACTTCTTCCCTCCTGTGTAGAGAAAGACAGATATTTCCGATATTGTACCTGAACTGAATAAAGAAACAGACAAAGTTAAAAGTAACTATGCCAAAAAAGAGGGCGTCTCATAGTCTCTCATGTCTCTTCCACTTCAAACTTTCTTCACAAATGAACTGCCTAAGTTGAATTCCACTGTCCTAGGAAAGATCTTAGGCCTGCAATGAAACTAAAAGTGTTGTGGTCAACTTTTTGTTATCTAAATATAGAACTGAGCTACCATCAATGGAAAATTCAGTTTTCCTTGATAACCTTTTAGATATCTTTTTAGCTATAATTGAGCACAGCTCTGCACTGGAGTGGTTCTGGCCTCAACCAGAGAGCTGGCAGGAAGCTTCTGATGCTGCCACTGAATTTCTCTGCTCCAGCCTGAGCATTGAAGTACCCAGCATTGATGATGACACCTTTTTGCATACACTTGGGTTTTACGCTACAAAAGCTGTGTTGATACTTTCAGCATGTTTTCTTTCTTATTTAGCAGTGTTTATTGATACATAAAATACAAGTGCTGGGATATATTCTCAGATTCACTCCTGAATCCCTCTTAAAGCCTGATATTTTGTTTGCAATTTCCATTTCCCTGGCATTGATTTGAGCACTATTTCTATGCACCAGAAAGTAATTCAGTTTCTTCAGATTTTAATTCATTTAGCAATATTGGATGAGTACCCTCTATCCTTGGTGCATTGCTACTCTTCTATTTATTCCAAAACCTATTGTATAAGAAAAAAGTAGGAACATTCTTAATTGTTCTCTAGTGAAAAAATAGCTTTTCTGCACAGGTGTGTGATCTTTTTACACCCTGATCATCTGTTAGATTTTAGATGCTCTTGAAATTTTCATTGCAACCAAAAACCTCAAAAGCAACTCCCATGGGATTTTTGGTAATGTAGAGCTAGCTCCACAAAGAGCTTCCATTTAAAAATGATTTAAAATAAATTTCTCTTAATCACATTGATAAAAATTATTCTTGGTGCAGCACTGTTGCTATTACAGCATGTAAACAGTAGAACAATTGTGTCTTCAGACCGCCCTGGCTAATCTTATCACAGAAGCAATGTTATTCCCCTGCTATGAACAGCATTCTTCTTCTTTATACTCATCTGTGCCAGATGTAGATGTTGTCAGACAAAAAACTAAACTGTGATATACAGGTAATGAAAACCATCAAGATTTCCAGAAAAAGAAAAAAAAAAAAAGGAAAAGAAGGGGACAAAGGTGGTCAGATTTTATAAATCTGTGGATCATTCAGTGCAACACTATTTGAAAAGCATTCCCCATGGGATTTTCAGCTTGCCTGTGCTGTTGTCAGCCATGCTGTCAGTATGACAGTGCATGCTGGAGGCATCAGTGTGTTCTTGGACCCCTGATGAGCCCTCTGACAGGGAATGCTCAGCTCCTGCTGCAGCAGCATTTCTGCTGCCCTCTGCGTAAAACGAGAGCTGCCAGGAATGTTAGCACCAAAGAAACAGAATTGCTGAAACACTGATCATTCAGAGCAAGGCTTCTCATCCCAACACTTCCCAGTTTTAAGATGCAGCTGGGCACTGGACTCTGGAGATGGTAGGACACATTTTCCTTAACCTAACATCCCTTTCTCCTGTTGACTAATGAAGTGCATGGATTTGGTGAAATGCATGCTTCCCTGCAGGAAGTGTCTCGTCCAAAGTGGTGTCATGGTGCTATGTAGTTCAGAAATTCCATATGAAGTAAGACTGGAAGGGTTAATTGACTTTTGAGTAAAACAGGTTGATGAACAGAACCCCCAAAATCTTAAAAATATTCAGGGAGAGAGATATGGAATAGGTACAGGGAAATTTTGGCCATGGCAAAGGTAAGTTAGTATTTCTGGGGCTGGAACTTACTTGTGAAGACTGCCCTGTCCCCTGCACCAAAGCATGGAGGAACTTTGAGGATCCTTCTGTCTCCTAATTGTACTCTCTTGAGACTGCTTCAAGGTTATTTTTTTCAATACATTTATGCTATAGCTTAATGGTATAGCATTATATGCCACATAAGCCTGTATAATATTTCACACTTGTGTATTTCAGAAAAGAGAGAAGGAAGGGAGAAACTTCAAAGATATCTCAGCATCGCTTAGCTGTGAAGTGGAGCAGAAGGTAAAATTATAACACCTGGGCAGGTGCTGAGTGAGTATCAAAGTTGAACAGTTCCTTAGGCTCCTCCTGTCTTTCCAGGAAGCATCCATGAAAGAGAGCTGGAGAGTGGGTCCTGGATGAGGACATGACCTTCAGGATGCCCCTTCCATCTCTCACCAAAGCAGCTGAGGAGCTCCTGTTACAGAACAGGTGTGTGGGGTGAGCAGGCTGGGCGGTGTCCGGGTGGAACAGTCAAGAAGAAAGGCAACAGGTGGTAAAAGGAGTTGAAGGTGGAGAAGGATCTGGATCAAAAGGGAATCAGGGTTACTGAAATGGTGCAATTTTGAAACAGTGACTGCTCCTCCCAGAAAATATCGGAGAACATGTTGAACAGTTGAAATCACTGAGAGACAACAGGTGCCATAAAGGCATCTGGTTTTGATAACCTTGCATTTGAATGCCATTACTTGGAGAAACATACATATAATCCTCGGCTGAGATGTGGCTGTGCTCTTCTTAAGAATTGTCACATGTTACTTATGACCTAAACACTGATTTTAACACCCATAACACCTCCTGCAATAACACCCTGCAACCTCCTGCAACTGCCTCCAGGCAGTTACACACAGAACTATTGTGGGTTATGTTGTATTATGTTTTTCATGTCAGTTTTCCCCTCACTTCCACAGGGGCTCATTCACAATATCAAATCACTCCTAGGAAAACCAGAATTTTTCTCTCTGTTAATTCTAAGCATCTCCTTGTTTGATTTCAGTAGTTCTGTATTGCAATGTGGACATAGTCCATTCTTTATTAAGGCCAGATTTTTGTCTAACCAAGGCAGGTATCTTTCATGATGGGACAAACATTAAAAAGTGTTTTGGAATACCAAAAGAGGAGGAAATTATGAACATTTCCAAGAGCATTTAAGGATGGGAAAACTTCCTGCCTAGCTTAAATTCTACTACCCTGTGCACTGACTTGTGTGTCCACCATGAACACCATCACATTTAGACTCTGTGTCTAGAAGTATTACCAGTGTGCAAAGTAGTTGGATGTCATGCAAAGCCTGCAGTGTGAACCCATTCTCTTCTCTCTCCAACAAGTGTCCCACATTCTCCTCCTCCTTCCCAGGCCCCACGAGCATTTCTGCTTTCCCAGGTTTCCCCACTCCAGTGTTTTCAGCCTTTTCTTATAACATCACTGCTCACAAGGCCTTGGGAAGTGAGGAGGCACCAGACACAACCTGCCTGCTCCTCCTGCAGTGCCAGAATCTCTGCAGAGCAGAGATTCAGAGAACAGATTTGTTTCTTAAGGACTCTCTTACTCTTCTTAGCAAGGCACCCATTTTGGGGTATTGGGTGTGATATGTGTTGGTGAACAGGGGGTTCACAATAGCAGTGATCAAAAGCAGCAGAGTTCAGTCCAATGTAAGTTTGTCAGGTACCAACACCCAAACAATGCTAAATTGTTTGCTCCCTTCCTTTCTCTTATTCTTCCTTACTTCCACCTCTACTTTCTGTCTCTTTCTCCCCTCTTCTTCATGAATTTTCCTGCTCCCCATCTCAATATCTTTCTCTTAATCTTGCTTTCTTTCTCATGCTTCTCAGTATCTTCCTCCCTTCCTCTCTTTTCTCTGTCATATTCTGTGTTTTACTCTCTTTCTCCATTTCTTTCTCACAGTATCTACCCAACCCACTTCTCCTCTACTCTCCTTCCTTGGCTTTTTCTCTTCCTTTCTGTCCTTCACTCCCTGGCTCCCTTATTTTCTGCAGTAGGGGAATAAAGCCCATTCTGGTCAGGGCAGTGTTGTTGTGAGCTGAGGGCATAGAAAATGAGTACTTGGAGAACTGTTAAGCTGAATTGTTGGCAAGAAGCCTCTGTGAGGAACCTGTGTCTTCAGATCAGAAATACTTTCTCCATGTCCAAGTGCCTCTTGAAGTGCTGATGCTTTCATGCCCAGGAGACACAGTTGTCCATGCCCAAGTTGTTGAAGGTCAGAGAACTCTATAGTCCACATGGGACAGCAGCTCGAGTGGAGCTCATCAGCTGCATCTATTTTAAACCTTCTCTGAGAGTTGTTTCTTTAGGCCAGTTATGGGCCCATGTTTTTCCCAAGATCAGTTACCTGTGCATCAGCACATTTCAGACCACATGAAGCCTGACTCCAGAAATAGTGTGTTGATGCAAAACTACTCATGTCCTCCAGGCAAAGCAGCAAATCAAAAGTGAGAAGAAATTTGTTTTCCTTACTCATCCTTTTAATAGTCCACTCTGATTCCAACAAGTCTCCAGCCCTGCTCTCCAGGATGGTCAGTGGCAAGGCCAGCTCAGCACAGTGCAATGTGTGTGATTTCTCTCCCTCTCCCACCTGTGCAGTTGGAATTCTGGCCCCAGATGTTGTCTCTTAAGAAACTGAAATGTTACCTTTCACTAGCTGAACATTAGTAACAAATCCTCGGGCCATAATTTCTTACAGGTGGAAGAGGAGCCCAAACCATTTAAGGTGCTTCAATGCATCCTGATTCTTCCACAGTCAGAGCAGCTTGTTCATTTTGAAGGGTGATTGTAATATTGTCCAAAGGGAACAGGGAGTTTTGCCATTGAAATATGGTCCCCAAAGTTGTTGTGGTATTTACTACTCTGTCATCAGGTCTAAAAAGGTACCCAAGGTTTCTTTTCCTTGTTGACCAGCTATCACTGGCACTGATGAAGTTTTCACAGCTTCACACATAGAGATGATGTCTCTGAAGAGCATCACTTACAGTGACACAAGAGTAAACGCAGGGCATCATCTTTTCCTTAAATATATTTAGCTTCTGCCTAGCAAACTACTTCCATATTTAGTTGTAACATGGGAGGATTCTATGGGTGTAAACCTCAGTGTGTTTGGGAGGAGGAGGAGGACCTCCCAGTCCTGAATGCTATTGCTGCAAACACACTGGCTGCTGTTGTCAGTGCAAAAGGCTGTTTCACAACTCTTTGAAGTACTCCCTGTAAATGGAGAGGTGTAGAGATAGGCAGGAATCTTGAGGGACCTGTAAGTGTCCCTGTAGTCAAAGTCAAGTCTCATTTACCATTCCCCACATCTGGTGGTAGAATCTTCCCTCAGCAGCTTTCCGACGTGCCTGGGTCTAGTGAATGGTACGTTAAGCTGCACTGCTGTTTGCTGTGCAGGGTGCCTCTAAACACCTATTCCAGATAAAGGAAGCTCCAATGTCAGTGTCGGGGTGATGTGCCAGTGGGCACTGATCTCTTTGCTTCAGTGTGGAGGTACCTGTATTCTCCAGACTCACCACCTGCTAAGGCTGTACAGCCCCAACGGGGGCACTGAATGAGAATGGCTGGAGGTGGGAAACATCCTTTCTGCCTTGCTCTTCCTCATGGTCAGCTTTTCCTCCTTTTTGTCCTGCTCATGCATTATATTCTGCAGTGTTACCTCATGTGAGATGAAAAAAAAAGCCAGGGGCTATCAGCTACTTTTTTCCATCCAGTTTTCAGTTTCCTTATACAAAAAAGCTCATGCATTGCTGCAAAACTAAAAGAGGGAGCACTGTTTGGCAGTGTGGAAACACTATGCTGAGAGCTTCTCTGTATTCTCAGTGTCAGACTTGGAGATTTCTTTATGGTGTCCTGTTAACAGAGATGCTCTCAATTCCAGTGTTAGAAAATAAAAACAATTCCTTTTGATATGTATGCCTCTTCCTAAAGAACATTATTTATTCAATATTTATTTATTCTAACTTTAAATCACAATTCCATTGCTGGGAAACACTGTATACCGCCTAAAATATTTTGTTTGCTATCATGCTATTACTCTTAATGTAGTTGGAGTACTGGAGTTTCTGAATCTTACTCTAGAAAATTGAGGAGTTTACTCCTAAATATTAATTGTCTTAACATAATCAACACCTAAATAACTGCAGAACTAAAATGTAACTACTGCTTTTTATGCGAAGGAATCTACGGTCTTTAGTCATTAGACTAAATTGCAAAATTGATAATTTTGTAAAGCCTCATTGCAGAAGGAAGTGACACCGGGTTCACATTTTGTGCAGCCCCCAGGTCACTTTGATGCCTCATGACATCTTCACTCTTCTTCTGCAATTTTCTTGCTGTGAAACTCCCGGCTCTTCACTCGGAGCTTGTTGACCTGTGACTCTGCAATGTCAGCCCGCTCCTCGGCTTCCTCCAGCTCGTGCTGGATCTTGCGGAACTTGGAGATGTTGACATTGGACAGCTCCTCCTGTGAGAGGAGAGGGAATCAGGCTCAGGAACACAGGGCAGGGGTTTCACTCCTGCTGCAAGACAGCCTTGTGGGGCTGCAAATCTCTATCCCCCTCCCACCACTGCTCACACAGAGCTCCTCATCCTTCCCTTATCAGGACCCTACTGGGACAACATTCACCAAGACTGTGGCACAAGTGAGGAGAAATTTCATTATTTCCATTTGTCATTTCTGTACTTATTCTCCCACTTGTTTAGTGCTCATGTGCTGGGGGATATATCTGAAAGACAAAGTTCTCCTCCTCAACTGATGATTTTTGACATTTACAAAATTTCTGATACTCCTCTCCAGGACACTTGTGTGACACCCAGAGGAAGCAATGCTTTTTATTTTCCCAAGCAATACTCACAGCTTCCTCAGCTTGTCTCTTGTAGGATTTCACTTTCGTTTGCAGCTTGTCCACCAGATCCTGCAGCCTGAGAATATTCTTCCTGTCTTCCTCAGACTAGAAGGCAGGCAAAGCAGAAATAGTGAGTTATTGCTTTCTGCACACCACAATATAGCATTTATCATTGGAGTCTAAGAGAAACTCTTTTGTTTGATGGAATAAGGGTGCGTCAGCCCAAGGACGGCTCCTGCCTTACCTGGTAGGTGAGTTCCTTCACCCTCCGCTCGTACTTGCGCACGCCCTTCACGGCTTCAGCGCTGCGCTTCTGCTCAGCATCAACCTCCCCTTCCAGCTCCCGCACCTGCAAGGACAAGCCCATCCCTGCAGCTTCCCTGGCAATGTCTCTCCAAGGACACGCTCACTCAGGGACAGCCTCAGCACTACACACCCTGGCCTCCAGCTTCTGGATCTGCTTCTTCCCTCCCTTCAGTGCCAACTGCTCGGCCTCTTCCAGACGGTGCTGCAGGTCCTTCACTGTCTGGTCCAGGTTCTTCTTCATCCTCTCCAGGTGGGCACTGGTGTCCTGCTCCTTCTTCAGCTCTTCTGCCATCATGGCCGCCTGATCAGAGCAAAGGGTCAAAGCCATTTTGGGGCTGGAGATATTTTGGGGAGAGTCCATTCATCCTCAGCAATGCCAGGAGTGCCCAACTCACATCAGTGATGGCCTTCTTGGCCTTCTCCTCAGCATTGCGGGCTTCCTGGATGGTATCCTCCATTTCACTCTGGATCTGGGAAATGTCTGTTTCCAGCTTCTTCTTGGTGTTGATCAGGCTGGTGTTCTATTGAAAGAAAAAAGCTTATTTTATTTCTCCAGTTGCATCACACCATTCTTAGAAAAATCAAATTTGATTTTTTTGATTACCTATTTTTATTTATGCTTTTTACAGTTTCATATGTAGAATACAAATGACTGATAAATGGAAATAGTAAACTGCTGAATCCTAATTGTTCTATTATAATTAAAAAAGGAAAACAGACCTATTATTAATTTTAATTCTCTTAATTCTGTAGGTGTTATTTGTCTTCAGTTCTAGAATTTACCTGAGTGTGGAGGAGCTGAACTCTCTCACTTGCATCCAGAAGCTCCTGTTCAGCCAATTTCCTTGACCGCTCCGTCTGCTCCAGGGCTGCCCGGAGCTCCTCAACTTCAGCCTGCAGCAGGTTTGCTCTGCGCTCCACCATGGCCACCTGCTCCTTCAGGTCCTCCTGTGTCCTGAGAGCATCATCCAAGTGTATCTGGGTGTCCTGGAAAGAGAGAAACAACAGACTGGGAGGCATATTCTTCCTATTTACTTATTTTCCATTTTCATATTTATATAGAGAAGACAGAACTGAGGAAGAGAAATATTTGTAGCTGCATAAGAAACCAGTGAGCACTTGGTTGGTAATGCCTTACCTTGAGCACTGCCTGAGTGTTCCTCAGGTTCTTCTGTGCCTCTGCAGCCTGGCGGTTGGCATGGCTCAGTTGGATCTCCATTTCATTCAGGTCTCCCTCCATCTTCTTCTTCAGCCTCAGGGCTTCATTCCTGCTCCTGATCTCTGCATCCAGGGTGCTCTGCATGGAGTCCACAATTCTGAGGTGGTTCCTCTTCATCTGATCAATCTCCTCATCTTTCTCTGCTATCTTCCTGTCAATCTCAGACTTCACTTGGTTGAGCTCAAGCTGCAGGCGCAGGATCTTCCCTTCCTCATGTTCCAGGGAGGCCTGGGAAAGAGTATAAAATGCAGTTTAATATAAAAAATAGAAAGTCAACAACTCTACATGAATTGTTATATCAAAGAATAATGTATAACCAGAAGTCTGAGATTGCAAGAAAGGATAGAAAAAGGCTTACCCATGGATTCAAAGATTTTATGTTGTGATGAAAACCTGCTTCCTATGCCTCCACTCAATTCTCGGTGCATAGAATTATTTAAATGTTATCTGAAGTTGTCAAACTAATTAGTTAACAACAGAAGGCTTTACCTCAGCTTCCTCCAGGGAGGCTTGCAGTTCAGATTTCTCCTGCTCAACCTGCTTCTTGACTTTCTCCAGCTCATGAATCGCCTTTCCTCCCTCCGCAATCTGCTCCGTGAGATCGGAAATCTCCTCTGTGGGAACAAAGATCAGTGGCATGGTCAGGCACTGAGCAGAATGGGAAGGACCCTGTCCCACCAAGGTGACAGGCATCTCTGCAGACCTGCGGGCACAGACCCATGGACAATGGAGGTGATGGCTGATAGTGAGAAAGGCCAGGGAGGAGCAGAGGGACTTACGCTGCAAGTTCTTGTTCTCCCGCTTCATTGTTTCCAGGTGGTCCAAGGACTCCTCATAGGCATTCTTCATCTTGAACAGCTCCGTGCTGAGAGAGCGCGACTCCTTCTGCGAGGCCTCCAGCTCAGCCTGCGTTTCCTCATACTTCTGCTTCCATTCTGCCAGGATCTGAAGAGAAACGGGGTGTGAGTAGGGCTGTGGCCATCACGGGGCCATGCTCTGGCCAGGAGTGCTGGTGCTGGAGGCCAAAAGACCTTGTCAAAGTTCTTCTGCTTCTTATCCAGAGCAGCACAGGCAGCATTGGATCTCTCCACATCAATCATCAGGTCCTCCACTTCATTCTGCAGCCTCTGCTTTGTCTTTTCCAGGGAGGCACATTTGGCATTGACAGCCTCAACATGTTCCTCTGCGTCCTGCAGGCGCTGGGCCAGTTTCTTCCTGTATTAAACACATCTCATGTTTTAAGAGAAAAGGGAAATCTATGGCATGTGGTTGATGGGCTTTTCCCTGTCTCTTTGCCAGTCCCTGTCTTCTACATGTTTGCCTGTGATTTTTTCTCCCACACCACATGCATTACAGAATTTATTTGCTACTCTTCTTTCAACCCAACCCCAAGATGAGCACTGACTTCTTCCCAACAATGTCACAGTGGTCTCCAAGAATCTCTGGTCTTAATCTCTGCTAGTCTTCCTCACTTTCCCCTCGTACTTCGCCTCCTCGAGCTCTTCCGTGCGCTGAATCGCGTCCGTCTCATATTTGGTTCTCCACTGGGCCACTTCGCTGTTGGCCTTGGACAGGGCTCGCTGCAGCTCCCCCTTGGCATCCTGCTCCTCCTCATATTGTTCCCGGAGCAAGTCACAGTCGTGGCGAGAGGACTGCAGGGCGTGGGCCAGGGCAGTCTTGGCCTGCAGAAACAAGGGTATTGGGCCATGGATCAGAAATATCCCAGGAAATCTGACAGAATATTAATTGGACAGTGGATCATGCTTCTATGCAAACAGACAACCATGCACTCAATGAGGAAAGGAGCTGGGACTGAAAAGAAGGAATAGTGGATAAACTCAACATAAAAGTTAGCATGAGACAACTTGCACCAAATTACGTGAGATTTTTTTCCCTGTCTCGTCATATAGTTCAGTAGCCATTTAAGTGACTGGAGGACCTCTGAGAGGAGAAGTCACCTTGATTTCTTCCTCCAGGTGCCTCTTGAGCTCCTCAATCTGTTGGGTGAAAGCTTGTTTTCCTCTTGACAGCTGAGAAACCAAAGCATCCTTCTCTTCCACCTGACGTGAATATTCACCTGAAAAAATTTGCAGATATACAACAGTTTTAATGCTGTTCATTGTAACACTGCAAACATTTGGCAATATATAACCAGATAGTTTCCAATCCATGCAGAAACTTATGATCCCATTTCAAGTATTTAGCAGGAGGTGTGACTTTGTGCATTCTGCAATAATTCTGAGACATTACTGATCTGCACATGTAGATGTGGGTGTCTCACCTGACTCTGTCTGCAGACGAGCTCTTTGAGCATTGAGGTCATTGATCATGCGCTGCTGCTCTTCATCCTTGCTCTTAATCTCACTCAGCTGATCTTCCAGTGTGCGGCACATCTTCTCCAGGTTGGCCTGTGTTTCAGCACATGGGAATTTATGAGTTAACCATCCACACACTAAAGAAGGCCAGGTGCAAAAATTTTGTTGTATTCCACTGGGTCACTGAACCAATAAAATAATTGTGTACCTTGGCTTTGGAGACAGACTCCATGTTGCTGGCCAAGTCATCAATCTCCATCTTCAGCTCACTCTTCTCCTTCTCCAGCTTCTGCTTCACGCGTTGCAGGTTGTCGATCTGCTCGCCCAGCTCAGCTGTGCTGTCTGCGTGCTTCTTGCGCAGGGCGGCAGCCGTGGCTTCGTGCTGCAGCGTGGCCTCTTCCAGGTCACGGCGCATCTTCTGGAATTCTGCCTCACGCTTCTTGTTCATATCAATCTGAGCTGCTGTGGCCCCTCCTGCTTCTTCCAGGCGCTCGCTGATCTCCTCCAGCTCCCTGGACAGGTCAGCACGATGCTTCTCTGCTTTAGCGCGAGAGGTTCGCTCTGCCTCAATTTCCTCCTCCAGCTCCTCAATACGGGCCTGCAGAACACCAGGGACCCTTCACACCCGTGCCCTCCTCCTGCCTCAGCTGAGCCTGAGCAAGCAGGGGAAGGAAGACAGACTTGCCTGCAGCTCCTTGATCTTCTTCTGAAATTGTATGCCCACTGCTTGTTCATCCTCGATCTTGCTTTGGATCTGGCTGATTTCAAAGTCTTTCCTTTGGGCCAAGTGAACCATGTTAGAGCTCAAAGCAAAGAGACAAGTGCTGCAGCCCAGCGCTCAGTGCCCCAGAGCCACACTTACTTCTTTAGTTTCTCATCCAGCTGCTGCTTATCATTCTCCAAATCCATGATGCTGTCCTGGGCCAGCTTCAGGTCTCCTTCCAGTTTCCTCTTAGCTCTCTCCAGGTCCATGCGCAGTTTCTTCTCTTGCTCCAGGGACCCTTCCAGCTAAACACAACAAGACCATCAGGGCTCTGCCAGCCAGGTCAGGCTCCATACCTGTCCCGTTCCTGCTCTATGTGTGCTTACATCATCCACTTGCTGTTCCAGCTTGGTCTTGGCTTTGGTCAGAGTATTGACTTTGTCTTCCTCTGCCTGCAGGTCATCCAGGGTCTGCTGATGGGCCTCTTGGAGGGCTTTCTTCTCTTTTGTCAGCTTGGCAATGGTCTCATCCAGGGCTGCCATCTCCTCAGTCAGGTTTTTCACCTTTGAGAGGAAGGGAGCAAATGTAAATAAAGGAAGTAGCTATAGTAGTCCTGTCATAGCACACAGCCCATTTTCTGGAGTGCAATTGACTGGTTCTGGCTCATACCTTGTTTTCGGTGGCATGTTTTTCCTTCTCCACCTTGGCCAGTGTTAGCTCAAGGTCATCAATATCTTTCTTCAGCTCTGAACATTCATCCTCCAGCTTTCTCTTCTTGGCTGTCAGCTCAGCATTAATTTCCTCTTCATCCTCAGCCCTTTCAGTCACCTCCTTAATTTTGGCTTCCAGCTGGATTTTGGTTTTGATGAGTTGGTCACACCTTTCCTCAGCATCAGCCAATGCATCAGCTTCCTGGTGGGTAGACAAAGATTCTGTTTTTTAATAACATTTGAAAGTTTCTCTTTTTTATCTTTTAGCCTGTCAAGTCAAACGTGTATACAATGTTGTCCAGTTTTCTGCCTGGGAAAGAGATCTCCAAGTTCTCGGTTCAGAATGTTAAAATTTTCTTTGTTGCTTTTTACTCTTTCAAAAATATCACTCAGAATCTGTAGTTGTGATAATAGTAAATGGTGTAGGGGGTTCACGTACAATCCTGTATTGGATATATATAGATGGCATCTTCCTCAGAAAAGCAGGGGCACCTAAACCCACTTGAAGCCCCTTGCTTCTTTTACTATCTATAAGAGATATCACCATGCTACTGCAAGACGCTCCTTTCTAAGCTTCATGTTTAATATAATGGACACTTGACCTTCTCCCCGAGACAGAACAGTCACAATAATTAGGTGATTTTTCTGAGTGGGAAATAAATGGTGCTACTTACAGATTGCACTTGGAGCTGCAGGTCATTTTTCTCCTTCATTAGAGATACCATTTTCTCCTCAAGCTCCTTCCGCTTTGCCTCAGACTTTGCAAGATCTTCCTTGGTTTTCTCAAATTCTTCCTTCATGTTGGCCATCTCCTTCTCAGACTCTGCACTCTTCAGCAAGGGCTTGATCTTGAAGAACAGCTTCATCCATGGCCAGTGTTTGACATTCATGAATGCACGAATGTTGTACTGGATGCAGAAGATGGATTCCCTGAGGCATAATTAAAAAGTGCAATGAATATTCTCAGTCTGTTGAGTGTCTTCACTTCCCCCCAAGCAGAATGACTCTGTAACTGAAGAAGAGGAAGGTGTACCTCCGCTCCACCATTCTCTGGTACTCCACCCTCATCAGGTAACCCCTACACATGGCTTGGGTGCGGGTGATGAGCTGTGCCAGCTTCTCATCCCTCATCTCCTCCAGGATCCCAATCAGCCCAGCTTTGAAGAACACCTTGAGAGAGGCAATGTTGCAGAACATCACTGTCAGGTAGAGAGAGCAAAGCCCAGGCAGGCAGTGAATGGGGGGGGATTTGTACCTTGGTGTGTCCAAATTTGTACTGGGTGTGGTCCACATCGATTGACCCAAGGAGCTTCTCAGAAGCCTTCTTGCTATCGATGAACTGTCCCTCAGGGATGGCACTGGCATTAAGCACCTTGTATCTGTGGGATTGGAGGAAATAGGAAGAAGACAATGTCCAGTCATAAGAATGTTCTGTTTACTGAAAGCAAGAACAGTGTTTGCAGCAGAATCCGGCTGACAAAGTTGGAATTTCATCCCTCGATACTCTATTTCATCCCTTTATACAGAGATCCTGGCAAAGCTCATTTGTGTGATGGAGAGTAGTTGGTGAGGACACCTGACTTATCTCTTCATTTCATAGCTCTCACCTCTGTTTGAAGTCAGCATAGAGGACTCTGCTGGGGAACCCTTTCCTGCAAATCCTGATCCCTTCCAGCACGCCGTTACAGCGCAGCTGGTGCAGCACCAGCTCATGCTCCATGGCACCTGGCAATGCAGAGCACAGATGAGTGGACCAGATGGCAGAGGGGAATGGATGTATCAGAGCAAGGATCTTTCTGCTTGGGGCTCTTACCTGGCGTTTTAGTCTCATTGGGGATGATACAGCGCACAAAATGGGGATGAGTGCTCCTCAGATTGGTCATCAGCTTGTTGAGATTCTCCTGTGGGATCATGATTTAGCATGCATTTATAAGAAACGTGGGAAAAATAGCCCCTTGCAATCTTTGAATTTAACATGAAAGACCCATCAATGGAGACACACTGGGCTGAAAATTGTTAGCTGAGAATGTCTCAATCAATTGCTCAATTCTCTCTGATTCCCAGCACTAAACCTCACCTTGAAGGACAAGAAAAAGCTTACCATCAACCTAATGAAGAATAGAAAGGGGGCACGTTTTATGTTTATATAAAGTTGAAGTTTAGACTTTATATAATGGCACTTTACAATGCCATTTTTCATTACATAAGTCTTTTTTTTCCGGTTGGCGGAGAAGTTATACTTTGAATATCTGACGGTTGGTTGAGAAGAGAAGTTATACTTGGACTATATGTTGGTTGGTTGCTTGGTTGGTTGGTTGGTTGGTTGACTGATTGTTGGGGATTTTTTTTGCTTTTTTTTTCTGTGTCTGAGCCAGCTAAAAGTACAGAATAATTCTCTGCATATATGAAAAGAAAATGTGTTTACGTACCCGGAAAAGAGCTGAGACCGTCTGAAAAGAAGAACCCTTCTTCTTGCCTCCCTTCTTGCCACCACCACCACCACTAGCCTCTGATAAAGCAAAGATAATGGATCATCTTTTGCTTTGGGGACCAACCACTGTGCATCAAAGAGATGAATTTCAGAAAACTGACCTGCCTCTCCTCCATGTGAGGCAAAGAGCAAAGCCAGGGTCTTCACAGATGATTTCTGGTACAGCCCAATGACAGTTTCATTCAGAGGGTCCTTGTTCTTCTCCAGCCACCCAGTGATATTGTAGTCCACTGTGCCAGCATAGTGCACCAGGGAGAAGTGGGCCTCAACCTTGCCTTTGGCAGGCTTGGGCTTCTGGAAGTTGTTGGACTTGCCCAGGTGCTGGTCATAGAGCTTGTTCTTGAAAGAGGTGTCAGTTGCCTTGGGGAACATGCACTCCTCTTCCAGGATGGAGAAGATGCCCATGGGCTGGGAGAAATCACAAGAAAGGAGGGAGGACAAGGTGAAAAGGCAGAAAGACTCAGAGATTAAATAACTTCCTGAGTGAGACAATATAATTGCTCTCAAGGATTATTCTGCTCAGCAAATTGTAAAATAATACAAACTGATGTATCTGCAGTATCATATTTACCATTTCAAACTGCTTTTAGAAATATATATAAAATGAATGCATTTCTGAAAATATCTGACATTGTGAAATACAGAAATACCTTCTCAATGAGCTCAATGCAGGCAGCCAGGTCCATCCCAAAATCAATGAATGTCCATTCAATTCCCTCCTTCTTGTACTCCTCCTGCTCCAGCACGAACATGTGGTGGTTGAAGAACTGTTGCAGTTTCTCATTGGTGAAGTTGATGCACAGCTGCTCCAGGCTGTTGAACTGCTCAGTGGAAAATAACCACAACAACCAGCTCTCATCAATATACCCCGTTCTTCATCATTCTCCTCCACCCTTTATAAATCTCTCCAGTTAGAACACAACTGTATTGTCAGGACCACACCATAACAGAACCTTTAAGCAGCTCCAGAAAGAAATACCTACATAATGAAAATAAGGGATTTTTTCCAGAGGAGTTTTTTAAATGAATCTTCTAAAATCAATAAAAATATTTCAGGATTTTGTTATTCTGCAAACAAGATGAGTGCATGCTCTTGTCTCCAAATTGAAAACCCTTAATATTTCTGATTAGAAACATAACTATTCATTTTCTTACTTCTTTAAACATTTTAAACATCTTTAACTCGCTATATATTTCCTAATGCATCTCCTAGCTCTGCACCAGAAGCTATTTTATAAATTTATTGGAAATATTTTGGGTTATTTAATCTGTAAGCTCAAACAGTTGTAATATTACAACATATAAAATTCTATTTGCTGCTTCTGCACAAACAACATGACTCTGTGCTTGTACTGATGGAGCTTTTGAAAATTTTGTTTTCTGCTAGAAAAGAAAATTACTGGCTTTTTTTCTGCAGAAAATCACAAATGACTAGCATGTTAAACCTGCAGAGGAATATTACTTGCAAGTCCTCTGATATAATAATCCTTCGCTTCAAGAGCAGCCCTCAAACCTGACTTCCTTACATCAAAGATCTCAAAGCCTGCAATGTCCAGGACACCAATGAAGTACTGCCTGGGCTGCTTCGTGTCCAGCTGCTCGTTGATGCGAACAACCATCCACAGGAACATCTTCTCATAGACAGCCTTTGCCAGGGCACCCACTGAATTGTTCACCTAGAGCAGAGGAGAATGGAGCAGAAGGAAAATAGTACCCAAAGGGAGAGGGTAAATCAAGTGAGAGGTTCCCAGTCACCAAGTGGTTGTTGTTACCTGCTGCACATTTTGGCCCTTGGTCACATATTCATTCCCCACCTTGACGCGGGGATAGCAGAGGGCCTTGAGCAGGTCTGCTGAGTTCAGACCCATCAGGTAGGCAGCCTTGTCAGCAACTGAACACAAAGAGACAGGGAAGAATTAACAGAGGAGAAGTGATAATTGAAAGTGGACATCTTCTAAGATACATCGGTTGGTCTCAGCACTGAAATTTCATGATATCTTGAAGGGAAATTTAGAAACATGAACAGTCTGGAAGCTGAGATTGATGTATTTATGAAAGCAAATGGAAGGGAAATACCTGATTGCAAAGTACCTGCTATGTAACCATTTCTGTTATTAGGAGTTTTATAAGACTTTATTACCTTCAGTGCCATCAGGCTCTGCCTGCTCCTCTCGTTGTTTCTGCTTGAACTTCAGGTTCCCGTAGTGCATGACAGCCCCTGTCAGCTTGTAGATGGCTAGTCTCTCATCAGCAGTGAAACCCAGGATTTCAATGGCACTCTGAAAACAGAATCAGTCAAATAAACCTCTGGGCCATTACAAGGAAGTTTCACCACACCAATATGCTCTGTGACACTTACATCTGTGGCCATCAGCTCCTCCTGGTCGTTAATGCTGGGAACTGTGATCTCACCTTGACTCACAAATTGGTAGTCATATGGGTTGGTGGTGATGAGGAGCATGTCTGTAAAGAGGAATAGGATGTATCTGGGTGTGAGAATAAAGGTAAATATTAAAGACCTTACGATTTTATCAGACAATTCATAATACTTCGTACCGATTAGCTCTGGCTTCTTGTTGGACATGATCTGATAAAAGATGTGGTAGCTCCTTTCCGCCTTGAGCTGGAAAGTGACTCTGGACTTCTCCAGCAGATCTGGCAAGGAAGTTGGGACAGAGTCAAGCCTGAGAAAGAACACTGAGGTGGAAAGAAGGAAGGAATGGGATCAGGTCTGGTGGTCTCTTACAAGTTTCAATGTCAGCAGAAGCCAGCTTGCCTGTGGCCCCAAAGTGGATTCGAATGAATTTGCCCTTTTAGAGGGGAAAGAAAAAAAGACTTTTTGAAATTTCACCATGATTGTAAGCATGCAACCTTATATTTTTCACAGAGGACAGGTTTCAAACTTAGCAGTTGTTTCACTTTTACTTTTTCTTAACAAAGCAAAACAGGACAAAAAGAAATTCAGGAAATTCTTTATACTGCCAATACTAGATAGATCTGAGCTTTTTTATTCACTACTATTTAATGGATAACCATGAATGCACATGAATGAGAAAACCACTAAAAGAGTGTTTTATTGGGTCATTTATGTTGTAATTCAAACATATGGATATACTGAAAGCCATTTTCTAATCAGAAAGCATTCTGTGAAGGCAGATTTTGGTAGTATAAAAGTTAAATGAGGATTTTTACTCTTCTGGAAAACAGAAGTCATCTGTTACTGTCTGAGTTGTAGAGATAGAGGCAACACACCCAAAACAAGGAGCTTTAGGCTGAGACTGAGGATTGGTATTGTGATTTTTCAAGGAAACTCACAGTTAATGTAATAGAACTTATGAATGGCTTTTTGCATTAAAAATTACATCAAGGTCTGAACTGTCAGATTAATATACCTGCCCAGTTTTGTACCTAAAACCCAGAGAGTAATTTTTTTGCTGGTCTCATGAATGCCAGCAACATTTCTATCGAGTAGTTTCTATCCTGTATGCCCCATTATTCATTTCTTCTATATTACATCAATTTCCGCAAAATTGTGTCTTCAGTCTGTATGACAGACTCTAAGAATATGTATATCTATATTTATAGATATGCAATTATATAGATATACAAACATATTTAAATCATCCCCATTTGTATACTGCATTGCACTTCTAAGGATGTATTTTTAATTAGATAGTCTATTTTAATTGGCAAAAATACGCAGAAAACAGTCATTTAATAAATACACTCATCTGACTTTGATACTTCAGACGTGACAGTATGTTCTGACGTACTTGTTCCCATATAAATGACAACTTCTCTAATGAAAAACTCACAAAGCGTGAGGAGTTGTCGTTCCTCACGGTCTTGGCGTTTCCAAAGGCCTCCAGCAGTGGGTTGGCGCTGATGATTTGATCCTCAAGCGTTCCCTGCAGGGACATCATTATTTAGTGACTGTGTTTGGTTGACAGGGCAATGGCAGGCCAAGCATTCTGTCTGTCCATTCTGACTCACCTGCATTTTGCCTGATGACTTCTCCTCCTTCTTCTTGTCCCCACTGGCTGCAATTGTTGCAAAGTACTGGATGACACGCTTGGTGTTCACAGTCTTCCCGGCCCCGGATTCTCCACTGCCAAAGCCAAGAGAGAAGCAGAGGGTGCGTGGTCAGGCAGGAGGGGCCCTGGCACCGGGCAGCCCCACAGGGACCCGCACAGGGGGTGTACGTACGTGATCAGGATGGACTGGTTCTCCCGATCTGTGAACAAGGCAGAAACACGGTACTTAAAACTCAGTGAACAACAGAGAAAAAATGAAATATATGTAAGTTTAATGTTCTGCCTGATGACAGCATCACTTGAACAAGCAAACCTTTCCAAAGCACATCACTGAGTACAGAGGTGTCTTTAACACAGTGGAAACAATGCTATGAAGATAGTAAACTCCAACAGATGTGTGTGTCAGAGACAAGATAGGAATGAAAAAGTCTTCACTTTGCTGAGACAGAGTATCCCTTCAGAGAATTTCATGGTCCAATGCCCCTGAGGCAGACAGAGCCACTCACCAGTCAGCATGAACTGATAGGCGTTGTCAGAGATGGAGAAGATGTGTGGAGGGGCCTCCTGGCGCTTCTTGCCTCGGTAGGCCAACACCACCTCGGGGTTGTACACCGGCAGCCACTTGTAGGGGTTGACAGTGACGCAGAAGAGACCCGAGTAGGTCTGTGAGGAAGGGACACAGCACTCAGGCTTGCCCTGAGCCTGGCCCAGCAGCTCCTGAGGCTGCCCAGAGGAAGCTGCTGCTGCCACTTACGTAGATCATCCAAGCTGCATAACGCTCTTTGAGGTTGTACAGCACGGCGGGTTCGTGGAGGTGGGTCATCATGGCCATGTCCTCGATTTTGTCATACTTGGGAGGGTTCATGGAGAAGACTTGGTCTTCCTTCACGGTCAGGGTCTGCCAGGGAAACAAAAGATCCTCACATGTCAGTTAAGAACCCAGTGAGGGAAGAAAATGTCCTTGAGCCTTGTTTTTGACTCACCTCTCCCCCTTCAGTCTTGACAGTGACTTTGCCCGATTCCCTGCTCGTGATTGTCCCTTTCACAAAGGATTCCTTTGCATGTACCACGAAGACAGATGACTTGGCATCAAAAGGTTTGTTCTGGGCCTCAATTCTCTCCTTCTCTGACTTTCGGAGGTAAGGAGCAGCCTCCCCAAAGATGGCCATCTCAGCGTCCGAAGACATGGCTGCACTTTATGGAGGGGCTTGTCAGCAGACAGCACTGTGGAAGAGAAGATATGTTACCCAAATGAGTCAATATTTTTTTCTTGTCACACACTTTATTGATTGACCCTACCAGTGTAATAGAAAGTGTGATTTGGGAAGAATCTTGAGTAGTTCTTTGGTTCACCTTCCTGTGGAATCAGGGCAAATGGTGGATGCAGGTTCCCACTGTGTTTTCCAGAGAAGTTTTTATTATTTCAAAGAACAGATATTTCTCAGTCCCTTTGCATCCCAATTTAATGTCTAATGACCCTGATGGTGATTTTTTTTTCCTATTTATTGCCTAATCAAAATTTCTGTGGCTGTAAGTTGTGTTTTTTATCCCTCAGCCTTTCACTCTGCCCATTTGAGACATCTACCTCTTTCTGTGATATAACCATCTCCTTTTTGTTGAAGATAATGATAACCACTTTTTAATTTCACCCTTAGTGTAGACAAACCTCGCCTTTGCAGCCTTTTCCCATACATTATTTTTTCCTGCTTATCTTTTTAAAGATCTCTGCTGGATTAATTCCAGAATGTCACTGTCTGGAAACCAGAGAGTACCAAACTGAACATAGTGCTCCAGATATGGGAGCTGAATGCAGGGAAAGAATCACTTGTCTTTACCTGCTGACCATGCTTTCATGAGTGTCTGACAATGTGCTGCTGACCTTCCTTCCCCCAAAGGCACACTGTGACAGAACTCATGACCCTTTTCTCCAAAGTTGTTAACAAAGTTCTGCAAAATGTTAATGAACATTTGCAGCTCCTCCTAGTAGCATGCAGATCTTCCATTTTACTCAGTCTTCTTTCATAGGAATAGGAGCAGTGCCTCCCCCTTTTTGTTGTTCTGTTAGTTGGTTAGCTATTTTTGCATTTTTGTCAAGTATACTAGTAGGAGGCCTACATGCATATTATAACCCTGGAGTATCATTTGGAAAGTATTTTCATTACATTTATTGGCCAGTTTCATATGCTGTAATAATTACAATTCACAAGTCTGTAAGGTTTTGCAACATTCTCTTCTGTTGGCTAGCTCTGTCTGTCTGGACTTCATGCCAGAATAGACCATTGACCTCGCTGTTCCATAATTAAACATAAGGAATCCCCAAGAAGCATTTCCTGGCATTACATAGTGGCTGTGTCTTCAAGCACAGCCACTCACAAAATCTTGCTAGCTGTGAGCAGCCTGCCCAACCAACAGCATGCTTTATTAGTCATAGCAGAGCACTGGCCAGGAGCACATACAGCAATTGCCTACAAAATTTTACAGTGATTTGTCACCATGAAGAAATCTGTTCTACAGAAATCGTCCACCTTTTTCTGTCCCTTAAATGCAAGCAAGTGTGGCTCTTACCTCTTATGTTATGAGAAAATGCCTTGCAGGCTAGGAAGTGATCAGTGCTGCAAAGCAGAAAGAGCAGATCTCTCATTATTGCTGCACACAATTCCGCAGGCAGGTCACAAAGTGAAAATACCAACATGCTTTATGATACAAATATAAAATCCTTCCAGGTACATGTACAAACATCAGGACAGCAGGGCTGGAGTGGGACTGCAAGGACACTGTTCCTTTCTGCCAACCACAGACGTGCACTTACCATGAAGTTTCCCCTGCAGACAGAACAGCCCAGATTCAAGGACTCTTTTATAGGGTCTGGTCAGCGCATGCTGCAGATGCCTCCTCTGTCTTTGGGCAAAGCATTTCTGGCAAACCTTGTTTCTGGCAAAGCATTGTCTGGCAAACTGAATGTACTGAAAACTGGAAAGTGATGTTACTAGATATAATTAGAAAATTTTGGTCTCTTCCTAGCTATGTGAATAAATCGCCTATAAATAATATGAGAAGATTCCTAAGGAGGGAAATACAGCTAATGATGACTAGAGGAATGAGGGTAACCACTAATAACTGTAAGGCCATGGATGCTCTATGAATCTGAGCTAAGGGAGCAAGGGAAAACCATTCCCTGGGCAAGCAGAGTGACATTTGAATGCATACTTCAACTTATTCTGAGGACATCATATGTCTGATGACAGTTGTCCTTTCACAGAGCTCTCTACTTACAGATCTTGGATATGATACATGGATTTCACTGTTGTCTGCATTGCTTACCTTAGTCGGATTATTGCATATTACTCTATATTCATTTATCTCTGCAGGGCTGGATTCCATTGATGCTGGAAACAAAACACAGCCCAGCTGAACAAGACAGGACAGAATGGAGGATGTGTAAGGGAATGTCTGTTCTGCACAGAAATGCAGCTTGTGCAAAGCACTGGAGTGCTGATATTCTCCATGGAGGAAAAGGAATTCAGGCATCCTGAAGACAGGCTCTTGATGAGAAGATCACAGAATGACAGAACCTGGTCCTCTCCATGAGCAGGACCACCTGAACCTAGTTGCCATCTAGAGCCACTCCAGCACCTGCCTCACTTTCTGCCACTACTTGTGATCCAACTGCTTCTCAGCCATGTTCTGTGATTATTGAAAAGAGTCTGAAAGCAAGAGGCCACAATTTAAAGCAGACTGAATTGTGGAAATGTCTCAAGAATGTTTTTCTGTGACCCTGTGGAACTCCCCATGGCACATTTGAGTCCTCGTGGTTGTCTGTATCATGGGGATGTGTTGGGGGATATTTTAGGTGTGTGTTTCTTGAGGTTCAGCTGGAGTGGAGCTGCAGGTTGAGCTCTGGAGGAGCAGGAGCTTGAGCCCACAGCAAGAGGCTGTGAACTTCAGACCCTCTGCACAACCAAGGGCCAGGGGTCTTGTCAGGTGAGGGACACTTAGAGACATGGCAGGAGGGGACGACTCCAGATTTTTCCACCCTTAGACTGTGAGGGCATAAAAACCCAGGAGTTCCTTTGTTTGGGGTCCCTCCTTGGAGGCACTAGCTCAGGATAGTTATTGCAGCATGATTACATCTGAGACTCAACAATGGGAAACTTGGTGTGACTGCAAGAGTGTGAGGGTGCAGTTGTGAAGGGTCTTGGTCCCAGCTCAGGTGGTGGGACAGTGGCTATGAGAGTGGCTCCTGGATGATTGGACAGGGGATTTCCTTTAATAAATGAACATAAGAATATCTGTATCAAGATCTTTGTAGCTCCTTCCTCTGACACTTCCCAAGCGAGTGTTCCCCATTAGAATATGCAGACATAACATGCATGCCAGTGATCTTGCTGAGAATGCTCCCACAGCCTCTCTGATGTGTTACTTAGAGACTTTCTGAGTCAGTGACAATGTTTTTGATTTATTTTACATCTACACTGAATTTTTATACTATGAATTTGTCTATTATCTGGCATCAAGGATAATGACTTGATGTTTGATCCACATAAGCTGTGTTACAATGGGGCAAATACAAATTGTATATAAATTTATAATATAAATTAAATAATGTATATTATATATATTATATATTAAATAATATATATAAATTAAATAATTTAAATTATATATATTATATATTAAATAATATAAATTTATAATAAATTTATATTCTATATAAACTCTGAGGTGGGATGAGAGCCTGTTAGAAAGAATGCCTGAGAGAGAGTTCCACCCTGTGTTAGTTCAAATATCACACTACTAAAACCCTTGTGGCTTGTAATTCCTCATACAAAATTGGCAGCTTTTTCCACAGGCCAAAATTGAAGCCAGAGATGTTTTTGAACATGCCAGTGTCTCTGAGAGCCCTGCCAGGGTCTCGAGGCAGCCAGGGCAGACAGAGGGATGTCCTGGACTCCAACATTTTTAGGTGGGACAGACATGCCAAGACCTACAGGCCAGCCCAGAGCATTGTCCTTGATGGTGACTGAGGCTGTGTGGCAGCAGTGTCTGCACACAACTTCTCCTACCTTGAACCAAACGCCCTCCCACCTCTCCTGCTACCTGCACTGCCACCTGAGGGTGAGCTCCGTGTGCAAACACATCTTCATTTCACTCAGGAAAGAACATTTTTCTGTGGTTTGCCCTTTGAAAGCCTGTCCTCTTCATTTGGACCTGGGAAATGTCCCAGATAAACAAATTTGGCTCCCCTGTGCCAAAGACTTTACCAATATTTCTCTGAGGACATACTGAGCTGGACACTTTGATTGCAAAGCCACCATTCTGGCTGGTTTCTCTCCTTTTGTTTTGATCTATTCGCTTTCCATCAAGCTTCCTCCCTGTCAGCACATGCCACTAATACAGAAAAGAAATAGGGAGGTTGGTGCCTTCCCAGCCAGGTCAGTCAGAGGAACTTGCTAAATACATTTATCATTCACTTGTTGTCTCAGACACTGCCAGAATATTTTGAGCAGCAAAGGCCCCTGCAGCCCTGCTAGCTGAAGGGCATCAGCTTGGCAGATTGTCTGTCAGGTGGGAAGTGTTCCTTTCCCTGTCTCCCAGTGCTCAGTGCCTGCCTGTTTTCCACCTTAACAGCAGTCTTCCTGCTGGATTTTCTCTAGATCCTGGCTGTTCTTATCCAGGTAGACCAGGAATGCCACAGCTCCTTTGCCTGGACAGTCTCATCTGCAGAAGATGACAGGTTAATCTGTCTTGGCCTGCTTTTGACAAACTGCCTTTCATCCACTTTTCCGTGTAGTTTGGATTGTGTTGCAGGTCTTGCTGAATGTCATAACCCTCTGGACAGTCATTCCTTACCCAGACTTTGTCATTCCCAGTCCTTACTCTAGTCCATATATGGTGTGTGTATGGTGTATGAAGGCAGGTCTGGAAGTCCCTCCTGAAGGGGAACTGAGCAGGTATGGTCCCAGTGCAACAGAATTTCTCCCCAGCTTTTCATCTGGTCCCACCAAATGTTAAACTATGGTCCAGTCTCTGAAATGGCCACAGGAACACACCATAGCAGCCTCTCCAGAATGAGCTTTCAGTGTGCAGAACACTAAAATCTCATGATGCACAGAGGCATTCAGGGCTGGCATGACTGGTGGGAGAATCTTCCCCAGCCTCACCAAGAATTCCTTGCCATTCTGGATCATTTAGTCAATCTGTTATAAATCTGAACCAAAATAGGGTCCAGATAGAATAGGGGATATAGGTAAACTTCAGCTTTTTTGCCTACAGGAAGGCAGCAGAAAGGAACTGCCTTTGTTATCATGAAAGTTTACTTCTGTTTTTGATAGAGGGCTTTCACTATATTTAGGAAGTCCAGGGCCTGAGCCGTGGACTTCCTAAATACAATTCACAGAACTGAGGAAACTCCACAAAGTAGAATATGATTAATCGTAAAGGTTTCAGGGATTGGTGAACAGTAATCTTCTGTTTTGATGGTGAGCAGATGCTTTGCCTTGCCAGAGGGAGAACCATCCATGTGTAAGTGAGGGGTTGATGTCTTGTGTGGTGGAAGGATTAAGGTGTTTAGTGTGGATGTGTCCTGAAGGAAGATGAAAAATGCTCCCCCCGCCTTGCTCCCCACAGCCTCATGGCCCTTGATGGATTTTTTTCACAGAAATTCACTGGTTTCTCCATTTTTTTTTCCTGAGCTTTCCAAAAACCTCACAGACAAACCTACTGCTATTTACTGCTTACTGCTATACGACTTTAAATTATCTGATACACCAGATATTTTATTCAAAAATAAAATATCCCCATGGGATCTGCAGCTTGCTAGTGCTGTAGCCAGACATGCTGTCATATGAACAGGCTGTGCTGGAGGCATCAGTGCACCCTGTGGACCCTGATTAACTGTCTGGCAGGGAATATTCACACTCTGCTGGAGCAGCATTGCCACTGTGTAAAAGGAGAGCTCCCAGGAGCATGAGCACATGCTGAGAACAAATGCTGATGCTCTGATCTGCTGGAGCAAAACTTCTCATCCCTACCCTTCTGCTAAGACGTAGCTGAGTACTGGACCATTGCAATGGTAAGGACATACTTTGAATATAAAAACCAGTAAGAATCAGATCAGACTAAAGTAAAGTATATTTCTTGCAGGCTGTTGGTGTGTCACACTGTGGCTGGCGTGATGAGTTGCCAAGCAAAGAAACATGGTTTGGAGATCTATTGGGTATCCCTAATCCATGCTGGTGCAGGAATGAAAAAAAAAATAGTAAGAAATATGAACTGACCTAGAAGAAAGTTGCTAATTTTCATAAGTTATGACAGACTTGACTTGAATACATCCTTTGGGATGAAAGGCAGTTCAAGATGTTCTCTGCATGGGCTATGAGAGATGAGATCTAAAATCCATGGAAGTAGAGCATAAGCCCCTGGAAAATGCTGCTGGTGAAATTGGGGGGAGGGGGGGGGGCATCTGTTTAGGTGCGGATTTTTTTTTGAGGGGAAGAGGGGAGCGAGGCCGTTTCTTTCTATTTGTTTATTTGTATGTATTGGTGGCTTTTCTCTCTTAAAGCTCTGTTCCTCTAGTCTTAGTGGTTGCTATGCTTGTGATCTTGCTTCATTTCATGGAAATCAGAGGGTTACTTTTCCTGGTATGGGCTGTTATGAGTTACATGCTTGTAAAGGTGATACCATCCTTTTTCAGTGTGAACTCCCAAGTGGCTTCCTGAAAAGCTGCAGTGGCAGATTATCTGCGGTTCAGGGGAAGGTGTCATTTCACCGAGCAGAGGAAGGTAAAAACTGTGACCTGGAATGTCAGGATAAACAGTTCTTGAAAGTGCATCAGAGTTAGCTAATCATTCTCCTTCTACCAGTACAGCAAACATGAGAGGATGACATCTGAGCAGTGTTCTAAATAATATGAGAATGACGTAGAGGATACTTTTTTCACCACACACTGGAGCTTCAGTTACATAGAAGATGAGCAGGGTGAAAAGACTGATAAGCTAATGGGAAGAAGATTAATGCCTGGAAATGTCAGAGATGTTGGAAAGTGAAGCAGAAATGACAGAAATCAAAGTTCAGTATTAGAAAGAAAAAAAGGCCAGCTTGTACTGAGAACAGAAAAAGAAAGGATGATGGCATGTGACTCACATATAATGTCTTAGTGCCTCTTGAAGTGCTGATGCTTTCATGCCCAGGAGACACAGTTGTCCATGCCCAAGATGTTGAAGGTCAGAGAACCCAATAGTCCACATGGGACAGCAGCTCTAGTGGAGCTCATCAGCTGCATCTATTTTAAACCTTTTCTGAGAGTTATTTCTTTAGGCCAGTTATGGGTCCATGTTTTTCCCAAGATCAGTTACCTGTGCATCAGCACCTTTCAGACCACAAGCAGCCTGACTCCAGAAATAGTGTGTTGATGCAAAACTACTCCTGTCCTCCAGGCAAAGCAGGAAATCAAAAGTGAGGAGAAATTGGTTTTCCTTACTCATCCCTTTAATATTCCACTTTGATTCCAACAAGTCTCTAGCCCTGCTCTCCAGGGTGGTCAGTGGCACGGCCAGCTCAGCACAGTGCAATGTGTGTGAATTATCTCCCTCTCCCACATGTCCAGTTGGAATTCTGTTTTCTCATCATCTCCTTTCCAACATCTCCAGCTCCCTTCCCCAGCAGTTTCACAGCTCCTTGAAGCACCCCTCATAAATAAAGAGGTGTAGACCTAGCCAGGAATCCTGAGGGACCCACAGATGCTCCTGTAGTGTGATAGAGCCAAGTCTCCATTACAATGGAAAAATGGAAAATGGTATCTGCTTGTAGAATCTCCCCTTGGCAGCTATGAGATGTGCCTGGGTACAGTACTGCTACAAATGGTGTTCCCTGTTTTCAGTACTGCTTCTTGCCTTGCAGGAAGCAGCCTGACATTTGTTTAAGACTTCAGACCAGTACACCTTGTGTAGATGTCTTGTCTCTTCTCCGTTCAGCTCAAATACAGTTGGTATCTACATTCCACTCCAGTGCCACGAGAGTCAGAAAGGTAGGACACAGTTTTTCATCACTGTCTATGTATTTTTACCTTTGTAAAGTGTTAGATTTTATGATTTCTTTCAAGTTGTAATGTGCTCAGTATTATTTCCATTTGAAGACTTGCATGATGAAAACCAGTTCTAGCTTTTTGTATTTGTACATTACTCTTAATTATCCTTTAGAATAAAAACTCATAAATTTCAGTAATGGAAAGACGATATAGTAGTGCAGCTGTTCCCACTTGTTCTGGTGGCTCTACATGTTACACTCCTTGGGGTTTATCCTCTTGTTCATTCTTCTACCAAGCTGTTCATTAGGTTCAATTTAATTTACAACTGGAAAATATGAATATTGGCTATTCTGCCTCTACAGAGGCAGTAAGGCATTGCAATATCCTCTTATCCAAATAATATATTATTTGTTTTTCTTTGAAACTGATTGTTAGCATTATATTTGTGATGTTATTCACAAGGCTGTATGATCTTTAAAGTTCCTCAGTAACAAGCCACTCTCTAGAGTTACTGGCCTTCACTTGCCTTGTTCTAAGGCAGTACATCACTCCTTGCCTAAGCTCCTCCATAAGGGCTCAGAGACATACAGATGCTTTTGGGATTACAGATGTTTTCCCTTGGGGAAACTAGCCTCTAAATACCACTTGCCCAAGTGATAATGGGACCATCAATGAGAACCTCTGAGTACTGTACCCAAGTAGAAACATGACACACAAAGGCAAAACAATTTTTTCGATGCCAGGACAGAAAAGGTGCTTGTCCTGCCTTTGTCCTGACCCTCTCCCAGAATGGAAATTAAGTTAGTCTTATTCCCTCCTTGGAAATGGAGTAAGACAGAGTGGAGAAATACTGGAGTTGGGATAAGTAAAGCTGTACTGTTATGCAAGGCTTAAAGTGAGGTAATATTTCATTTGAAAATGCCCTAACCTTGTGTAACTGCAGAACTGAATAGTAATGACTAAAATCACTGATTCTGCTGAGTATGCGACGAAATCTATATTCTTTATTCTCTACATAGTGACATGATTATGAACAATTGAAGAAGGACTGAGGTACACATTTTGTGCAGCCCTCACGTCACTTTGATGCCTCAGGACATCCTCACTCTTCCTCTTCTATCTTCTTGCCAGAAATCTCCCGGCTCTTGGCTCGGAGCTTGTTGACCTGTGACTCTGCAATGTCAGCCCGCTCCTCGGCTTCCTCCAGCTCGTGCTGGATCTTGCGGAACTTGGAGAGGTTGACATTGGACAGCTCCTCCTGTGAGAGGAGAGGGAATCAGGGCTCAGGAGCACAGGGCAGGGGTTTCACTCCTGATGCAAGTCAGCCTTGTGGGGCTGCAAATCTCCATCCCCCTCCCACCACTGCTCACACAGAGCTCCTCATCCTTCCCTTATCAGGAGCTTGTCCTTACTGGGACAAGCTTCATCAGGACTGTGTCACAAGTGAGGAGCAATTTCTCCCCTTTGATTTATCATTTCGATATCTATCCTCTCAGTACTTCCTGCACAATTGTCAGTGCAACTTACTGGCTTGGGAAGACCCTGAAGCCTTCTGCTGCTGCTTATTAGCAGAGATTCAGGAACCGGTCAGTCAGTGGGTGTGGCCCCTGAATTTGTTTACTCTGGTCTCCTGTATAATTCAGGCTGCAGAATTTCCCTTAATGAATGTCCCTGACTGCAGGGGGGCCAGAGCTCCCCAAGGTCTCAATGCAACATGGTTCTGTCTCAGGACTTTCTTTCATACCCCTCTCCAGGTATTCAGCCTCATTCAATGTGTGTCCTGCCCCAGTGGAATGTGGCCTTTGCCCTTTCTCCAAGCAATACTTACAGCCTCCTCAGCTTGTCTCTTGTAGGATTTCACTTTCGTTTGCAGCTTGTCCACCAGATCCTGCAGCCTGAGAATATTCTTCCTGTCTTCCTCAGACTAGAATATTTGACAAACAGAATAGAGAGTCAGTTCTTGCTTCTGCATCACGTGAGGTTAAATATTCCCCTTGGGGACGGTGTGTGCCAAATGTGACTCACAGTGAAAAAGCCCTGTGAGAGCAGAGGGCTCCTGCCTTACCTGGTAGGTGAGTTCCTTCACCCTCCGCTCGTACTTGCGCACGCCCTTCACGGCTTCAGCGCTGCGCTTCTGCTCAGCATCAACCTCCCCTTCCAGCTCCCGCACCTGCAAGGACAAGCCCATCCCTGCAGCTTCCCTGGCAATGTCTCTCCAAGGACACACTCACTCAGGCACAGCCCCAGCCCTACACACCCTGGCCTCCAGCTTCTGGATCTGCTTCTTCCCTCCCTTCAGTGCCAACTGCTCGGCCTCATCCAGACGAAGCTGCAGGTCCTTCACTGTCTGGTCCAGGTTCTTCTTCATCCTCTCCAGGTGGGCACTGGTGTCCTGCTCCTTCTTCAGCTCTTCTGCCATCATGGCCGCCTGATCAGAGCAAAATGTCAAAGCCATTTTGGGGCTGGAGATATTTTGGGGAGAGTACATTCATCCTCAGCAATGCCAGGAGTGTCCAACTCACATCAGTGATGGCCTTCTTGGCCTTCTCCTCAGCATTGCGGGCTTCCTGGATGGTATCCTCCATTTCACCCTGGATCTGGGCAATGTCTGTTTCCAGCTTCTTCTTAGTATTGATCAGGCTGGTGTTCTGTTGAAGAACAAAATTTTGTGCAGTTATTTGCAAAACAGAACAATTAATTAAGAAATTTACTGCTTCACTCTAAAGTTATCCTCTAAATGTCTAATATTAGCATCTTCCTGACCTATCTTGTCAGGTCATAGACAGCTAGATAGCAGAGAATTATTGAAATTTGAAGCAGCTCTTCTGACTGCTAATGCAGTCCTACTCATTTTGCTGTAATCCATTTCTTTGGACAAGTGTGATAATTCTGGTTCAGATAAAGGACTTTATTACAAGAGTTGATTTAGGAATTTACACAGAAGAAAATTGCCCATGAGATTTTGAATCTAACCTGAGTGTGGAGGAGCTGAACTCTCTCACTTGCATCCAGAAGCTCCTGCTCAGCCACTTTCCTGGACCGCTCTGTCTGCTCCAGGGCTGCCCGGAGCTCCTCAATTTCAGCCTGCAGCAGGTTTGCTCTGCGCTCCACCATGGCCACCTGCTCCTTCAGGTCCTCCTGTGTCCTGAGAGCATCATCCAAGTGTATCTGGGTGTCCTTTAGAGAATAAAGAGAAATTATAAGGCAAAGAATCAAGAGAAATTATAAGATGACACAGCACTGTTACACACTGGCAATTGCCACTAGTCCCATAATTATTATGGTAGTATAATATATATAATTATAGGAATACATTTATATTTGGACTTATTGTTGGTCTAGGCACAGTATCTAAGAAAAATCAGTTGGAAGTTCATTCATGAGAATCTGGGACACCTGAAGAGTAAGGTCAAGTCCCTGAATTTTAGGAGAGTGGTTTGAGTTTTTCAAGGAATTCCTGGATGGAACTCCCTTGAGAAACTCCTCTCAAGAATAAAGAAGAAAAAAAAAAAAAAAAAAAAAAAAGAATGTTTTTCATGGAGTGCAGGAGCTCTCAATTCACATATATAAGTAGTCAGGCATGCAAGGCAGGAGATCAGCATGGCTGAGCAAGGACCTTCAGGTAAAACTGAAGTGTAAAAGGGAAATGCATTGCTGGAAGAACAAGCACCAAATGTCTTCAGAAGAATACAGAGATACTGCCAGGGTGTGTGGGAATAGGATTATGAAAGCCACGGCAGAGCTGGAGCTGAATTCCTGTTTTGTCTGGCCTCACATTGAGTATTGCATCCAATTCTGGGCTCTTCAATAAAGAAGAGTTATTAAGAAACTAGAGGACTGCAGCAAAGCCAGTATTGGACAAAGTAAAAACCAAAGTGCACATCCTTAGTGTAACATACCTTGAGCACAGCCTGAGTGTTCCTCAGGTTCTTCTGTGCTTCTGCAGCCACGCGGTTGGCATGGCTCAGTTGAATTTCCATTTCATTCAGGTCTCCCTCCATCTTCTTCTTCAGCCTCAGGGCTTCATTCCTGCTCCTGATCTCAGCATCCAGAGTACTCTGCATGGAGTCCACAATTCTGAGGTGGTTCCTCTTCATCTGATCAATCTCCTCATCTTTCTCTGCTATCTTCCTGTCAATCTCAGACTTCACTTGGTTGAGCTCAAGCTGCAGGCGCAGGATCTTCCCCTCCTCATGTTCCAGGGAGGCCTGGAGAAGTGGTCATAAATATTGATAAAATAAAAAATATTTTCAGAAAGCTCAGCTGCACTCCCCAGCCAGAGCTGAGGGGAACCGAGGCCTTTTCAGCACTATTTCCTCATTTATTTACTGCAGATGCCAGTGGTTGGGGTCACGTACCTCAGCTTCCTCAAGAGCAGCCTGTATTTCAGATTTCTCCTGCTCAATCTGCTTCTTGACTTTCTCCAGCTCATGAATTGCCTTTCCTCCCTCTGCAATCTGCTCTGTGAGGTCGGAAATCTCCTCTGCAAGGAAGAGTGAAAAGCACCATGGTCACACAGAGAGCTGAATGGAAAAAGGCTCTGGTGCATCAAGGTGACAGGCAAGATCTTAACCCTGCAGGGCCAGATAGTGGCAGATAGACAAGCTTGTGAGAAAGGCCAGGGAGGAGCAGAGGGACTTACGCTGCAAGTTCTTGTTCTCCCGCTTCATGGTTTCCAGGTGGTCCAAGGACTCCTCATAGGCATTCTTCATCTTGAACAGCTCCGTGCTGAGAGAGCGCGACTCCTTCTGCGAGGCCTCCAGCTCAGCCTGCGTTTCCTCATACTTCTGCTTCCATTCTGCCAGGATCTGAAGAGAAATGGGGTGTGAGTAGGGCTGTGGCCATCACGGGGCCATGCTCTGGCCAGGAGTGCTGGTGCTGGAGGCCAAAAGACCTTGTCAAAGTTCTTCTGCTTCTTATCCAGAGCAGCACAGGCAGCATTGGATCTCTCCACATCAATCATCAGGTCCTCCACTTCATTCTGCAGCCTCTGCT